CTGTCATGACTTTAGTGTATAAAGGCCATGCAACGTCCATTATTATGACCCGTAAAGGGGAGAAGGAAAAAAAGGCCCAGAGAAAACCAATAATCTTCCCTGGAGATCTGAGTTGGTGCCATACAAATATTATTCCAAGTCTTCTGGTTGGCCAATATGGCAGGTCATTTGTAGTTAGAATTTCTATGCGACAAATGAAAGACTTGACAGATTGGCACCTAATTCAGACCACAGGCGGCCCCTGCAGGGAGTTCATGTCATAATATAGGTCCTCTGCAAACCAGCATCTCTGTGACATCTGGTTTTATTTGTCTGCCTCTCCCGTTGAGAACCATAAAACTCATACGATATTTTTTTAATCCGTTTCCCTCTTTATCACAGAATGAAGATGTCAGGCCGCACATCCGAGAGCAGTTTCGTTTGCACAACCTCCTTCCTCCAGACTGATGACCTCATGTTCGTCTCTCAGTTCAACATGGTATCAACATTGGAAACAAACAAAAAACAGACTCCTAGAAGAATATATTAAATGGATTTCTCTTTGCAAACATTGCTATTATTATACATTTTTAAATCATGCAAACAATTGAAAGATTTGTTGAGTCAAAAAGAGCCCTGGATGTTTTTATACAAACACAATCAGACCAGATTCAGAACAAACTGCTCGCAGCGGCAGACTTTCCCTTTTCGCTTGCTTGTTTTTAGTGCACCTTTCTGGAAGGCGGCTTCCTGGAAGGTATTTTGTCTTTTAAGAACCATTTTGGATTGACTAAACTGAATGTCACGCAGTGTTGGATTTTATGGACCCTGGTGGCTTCGGCCTCACCTTGAACGGCCAGTCAAACCTGTAAAATATTCACTCTATTTACCTGTAAATATATGTACATATTTTTTTTTTCTTCAAGGTTTTTAAGTCCTTTTATTTTCACTTCGGATTTTAGTATGTATTCTACGATTCGGTTGCTTTTATAAACAAACAAAAGGTTAGTGTGTTTTGTTTGAAGTTGTTGATAAACGGCTGCATTTCTGTTGTATGCCTGCATTATTCCTGTGATGCTTTAGTCCATTACAAGCAGTTGTCTGTAATAAGGTGCAGTTTAAAAAAAAAAAAGTCTCTTTGGGAGGAAAGTGTTTCTGAAACAATATTGTAATGTAAGCTAGACTTGGGTCTCAACTGAATACAAAGCCATAATGGCAGAATGATAATTTTGGAGATTTGTATTTGACAGTCCATTTCTGATTTCGACACCTCGATCGTCCTCTTTAACGAGGGCTGGGGGGGGGGGGGGGGGGGGGGGGGGGGTTCAGGCATCTTGCACTTTGACATCCAGCCCTTTGTAAGTTGATGTAAAAATCTTGTCACTTTTCTATACAGGTGTGTATCACCTCAATTTGTTATGTGGGTGAGAGATAAAATTGTAGCACCAGCAAATTGCCAACATGTTTGCTTTGAAATCTTGTTTTCCAAGACGTCTTGTATGTGGGATCTTTACGATGTGGGAGTCACAAGTTTTATTCACTATTGAATGATCACTCCTGTTGTATTCAGTGTTACTCAATGGTTTCCTTGAAAATAAATAAATTTTTATACGACTGAGAGCCTCCTAGTAATTATTAAAATGCATGTTTTAATTTGGCAATGTGGATTTTTGCCCCAGGTAGATGGTATGTTATTGTAGTTTAGCAATACTGCAATAAAAGCATACATGATAATAGAGCTTGTCATGAACCTTGGAAACAAAATATCAACTAAAAGGATTCTTATTTGTTTTGTTACTGCATGGAAATACTCAAGTACATACAAGGACCTCAATATTGTACTGAAATACATTATTTAGTAAATCAAAGGTTTTTAATAATAACCCTAGTTATATTTCACCACTGCATTTGTGTTTTTAAAAGATCCTGCAATACTTTCACACTACAGAAGAGTGACTGCATAACTTCATTCATCAGATTACTTGGAATAGAGAAAGTGATATGCTGACAGAATACTTTAGAGACACTTAAATTGTTAAATGTGTTTTTGTGAAACATTTTTAATATAATGTAACCTGTGGGGTAAACACTGGCTCTTTTTTCATCAAGCTTTGAATACTAATTGGATGAGCTGAGATGGGGTAACTATTCCCACAAACTAATTATTTAAATGTCAAATGTGTTACATCATTTCAGAATGTTGGCTTAACTTAAAAATAAATGAAAAAAGATGATATGAATATAAGGTAATAGTAATACAATATTAATAATAATCATAACTTATCATAAAATCATCATGTCTTGTTATGTGAACATTGACTTGTAGGAATTTTTTTGTTTGCTTTATTTTCTTTTCACCCTGGAAATGGGTGTATCGTATATATGTACATTATGTTTGTGTATATATATATATGTTTAATTTGTATATATATATATGTTTAATTTGTATGTATTTAATTGTGTATTTCTCTTTTTCTCTTTATTCTGCAACTGGATGACTAACGGGTGGGCTACCTCTGTATAAGCTATGCTTTCTGCCCTCCCGCTATACTAATTTAGTTGGAATGCTGTTAACATTGCTGTTAACAGCATTCCAACTAACTGTTATTCTACGCACGAAAAGTTTATTATTATTATTCCGCCGACTTATTTTGCCGCGCTTCTTCTCCCGCATTGAACATCGCAGAAACTCCGTTCAAACATCAAAACGTTCAGCTCGGTCGGGAATCGATGGCTATTACTTTTCTCATTCATAACTTTCCTAATTCCACAGATACATCCCATAATACATCACATTTTTAACCATTGAAGTCAATGGAGAAATTCTTCAGACTTCAACAAATCTTCATGCGACTTCAACTGCTAACTGTTCATTCATACTTTCACTCAGAAACCTCATTCCAACTTTAAAATGTTACACATCTTTCTGACATTATTCGTGTAAAATAACTTTTAAATTAAATTAAACTTTTAAATTAAATTAAACATTGTTCAGACCTTGTTAAAGAGGTTTTCTTCGGATTTTAACATTAACTAGAGTGCGTGATGTCACAGAGGGTAGAACATCTTGAAATTTGCCTTCATATTTTTTTTTTAAACTGCCATAATTCCCAAACCCTACATTGCTGAGACATAATTGTTCATGACAAACTTAAGAAAACATCTCGTAGCTTGAAAAATGACATTAAGCAAAACAATAATTAAACAAAATGCCTCTTGAGGGCATAAAGTGACAAAAACTTTCAACATGCCTCCATTAAAGCCCATTGTAATTTCAGGCTGATATTTCCTCACAGCAGCAGCCACAAACCTTTAATTAAACTGCCAAAAAGGCCACATTATTAACCCGAAAGTACACAAAAATTATTACACTTCAGATACTCAACTTCCTTGACATGCTTCACGTTTTGAAATTTCACAGATATCTGTTACGGTTCTTCCACAAAACGTTCACATGTAAGAGGTTCATCTCTCATTCAGAACAATGGAAACCTGTGATCTCTGCACACCTCGTTAGCTCAAATATAAACACCTGTGTAATGGAACACGATGATGTCCTCACTCCAACTGACATGCTCAGAGCAGCAGACTTCAGATAGCAGTGTGCTAACAGTCCAACCGTGAAGACATCTACGGGACAGTTTTGAGATTTCTTCAAATGTCGTTGCCATGGCAACACAATGCTCGCCATGAACCACGGCTTTCTCATAACTTCAGTGAAAATACTCCAAACGCCCCAAAACTTCACAGGTTTGGTAACGATGCAGCCATCAACGCATCTAAGCGTATTATGGGGTGTCATCAAATGCCGTTGGCATGGCGACAGATCATTCGCCATCAAGTTAGTTCAGAAGTTTGCAGTTCAAATATTCTGCTGCTTTTCCAAGCCTTTTTACTTTCTTTTCTTCTCTCATCACACATTCAAGCCCCCAGTGTTCATGTATCATTTTTTCAATCTAAATTCTTCACTTTCTTCTTACACATTACATTTCAGCATAGCAGTTTAGCGTCAGCTTTTCAGCATAAAGCATTCATTTCCCACTAGTAATTTCTTCAGGAATTGCATTCTCTAGTTCTGTTTGTTGCTCGGGTGTATAAATTGTCAAATTGTTGAAATAATAGAATAAATAAATAATAATGGTAAATTAAGTATGAGGCAATTTGCAATACATTTAGTTTTAGCTTTTAAACTTCAAAAATTATTAAAAGCCCTTTTGAAGTTCAATAAGGTGGTAAATATTTGGCCATCTAACAATCCCCTTGTGTCTGAAATACTGAAGTGGGATTTATGAATGAACTTATTGTGTTCTGCAGCTTCTTGGCACCCTGTAAAAAGGAAGCCAGATAAAAAGAATAAGGCATTTATACTGACACATCCAGTGTAATTTAATAGATATCCAGTGACAGTAGTCTCCTTTTATTATTATGTACACACCTGTCTGAGTTTTTATTCAGAGATACGGCGCTGCGAGATGTCCTGATCAGATAACATGCTGATGTCTTGATCCTTTTGTTCTTTTAACAAATAGGTCATTACCTGATTGTAGGTGTGCACTGAATTGCCCCTTCCAGAGGTCATGTGACTCCAAACACAATGGGGGCCAGTCTTCATTAGACTTATCTAACAAAATCACACTGTTGATAAGATAAGACTGTGTATTTAGAGTGGAAACCCCTCTGCCCTCGTCTATTGGCTGCTGGGTGGGGGGTGGAGGTTGTGGCTCCTAAACTATGAAGCTAGTGTGTTATCCCGGGGGCCCACGTGTATATAAATGGTGCAGACAGGTGTTCTCCCCTCAGAATAATCAGGTTGATGAATAATGTGGATGCTCTTCTTTCTGAGTGCCTTGTTGGGGGTCGTGGGGTCACAGGAAACGCCCTCTGCTGCAGCTCAGCAGCTCCAGACCCTTCACTGCCCGCCCTGCGAGCGCATACACTGCTCCACCCGCCGGGCGCTGAAGCTCCAGTGTAAAGGGGGCATCACGACAGGTGTGTGTGGCTGCTGCCCCGTCTGTGCCCGGGCGGAGGGGGACACTTGCGGGGGGACGTGGGACTATCTGGGCAAGTGTGACGAGGGCCTGCTGTGTGTTTACCAGGAGTCAGGAGCAGAGGACAAACCAGACGCAGAGCGCAGAGGCGTCTGTAAAGCAGGTGAGATTAAAGTTTATAACCTCAATTAGTGTCAGGCAGGTAATGTGATGACATTTGAATGACTGATTATTTGGAATATGCCACGGTGGGCCAAATGTTTTCATACAGATTCATTCAAATATAAGCTGCATTTTGTCACATGACTTTATTGAAACAACTAATTCTTAAGGCTGTCGACTGGATGACCCTGTTATAGAAACTAAAATAAATATTAAAAAAGTAAAGAAGAAACAAATATATATAGTATTTGCTGCATATTTAAGTTGTTAATGGTTGAGGGAGAGATATTTCAATATGTATATACTGTTAGATGGTTCGACTTTAACCTAAGGTATCATATATATTTAAAAAAAAGTCATAATATTTATTTTAAATGTTAATTTAGCCATGAAATACATGTAAATAAAAAGGTTTTCCTCTAAAATCCAACATCAGTCACTATTGTGGTGGGAATGGCGCCAAAATGGTGGATGTAGTTTATGAGGTGTGATAGTGTGTCAAGGCTTCCTTTGATTCAAAGGGTTCTTCTATCAGTTAAACCATAATGACGCCTCTTATCGAAAAGAGTTGTCACCGTTATTGATACGATATCAGACGTAGCACAAGATAAGACTTTTTATATTTTGTTGCTGCACAGTAAAATATGTAAATATGAAAATGTATATATCTAATCGGCCATGTGAGTTGCAAGTCCTAGACTTTCTTATTCCGTTTTTAATGTTGTTTTGTGCAGTGATTGAATCATTGGATCCAGAGGGCTGTCACCCAGAGTGCACCAGGGAGTACTGTCAGGCAAACCGCACGGAAATCTGCTCTGCCAGGTAACAAAAAATAACCAAAGAAAGACGATTTCCCTATGATATCTTCCCCTTATGCATTGTTAACAGGAATCTAAATGTCCTGCACTGTAGGCTTGTCTCTCTGGAGAAGACAGCATGCCAGGGCTCCTGCCAACACACCTCCTGTTCAAGCTGTCTGCTCCTGAAACCCCCATCATGCACTCAGACCTGCACCCCCGCTGACTCATCCTGCCTGCGCCAGTTTGGGAAGTGTGTGCACAATCACCTGACAGCCACTCATAACACTGTATGCAACAACAACAACAACCTGCAGGTAAGAATACATCACATCAAAAAGCCTTCATTAAAAGTATTTCTGCATCATGTTGTGCACTTTACTCATTAATCAAACACTGTGTCTTTCTTGTGTTTCTTTGTAGAGTCATCCTGAGGGGCATTTTCTGTGTCTGGTCCCCAACTGTCCAAACACAGTGAAGGTGTAAAAAGAGTATTTTCATTGGTTGATGTAGCAAAATGGAAAAAGACAGCTATATATAAACTTTGTGTATAACTTCAATATTTTTTTATCAAACAATCCCATTTGTAAGCAATGTTAACTGAATAAAACCTGTGAAATGTATAAATGTATAAATCATTGAAAAATAAAATGATGTGTCCTGTCACTTGATATCATTCAATTCAAATTCAATTTATTATCGGTTTGCTTGTGTGCTTATGGTTTATATCATATATTCTTACATAGATTATTGTATGTAAGAAGAGTGACTGTGTATTATGTACAGTGTGTATTGAGTTTGAGATTGTGTGTGTGCTCCATGTTCTTACATTGCTGCACAACACATTTCATCTAGTGGACACAAAGTTGAAGATTCATAAGATTTAAGATCTTTAGTACAAAATCAACCTGCCTAGTTAATTTCTCTTTAAACAATTATTCTACTCCGTATATTTGGACTCGATTAATAGTACAGCGCAATAGTATTATTAGAGTTTTACAGCCTTTGGTACAGACCAAAATATCTCAACTTGGAAATATTAAAAAAGTAGTACTTTGGATAAAGTGCTAATTAGCGAATTTTAGCATGCTAATTGTGCTAAGCTAAGATAATGATAAGGTCAACAAAACCTGCTTAACTTCAGCATGTTAACGTTGTGAGCATGTTAGCATACTGATATTAGCATTTAAGTTTAGTATAAGAAGTTTGACAATCATGAACTAAGACATGTGCAATTGAATAAGTAGAAGCAATGCAGAAATATTTATATTTCAAAAGAAAGAAAAATAATCTTGAGGCAGAGAAATTAAGTGGAATAATTTGGTTTCAACAATTTAAATGGAACCATGAAATCAGTCTGGCACTGTTTCCATTTTGGGAGTTTTGTCTGGGTCACAGGGGAAATTAAGTGTCTGGAGTCCCCTCTGCCATCACTGGCCCCCTGACAGATGATGGTTATTGAATAACATACAGTTTATGAGGCAGCTATAATGAAGCTTGCACAGAAAGGGAATAACATTTGGACTAACAATGGACAGTGGTCTTCATCCTTCAAATGTGAGCCGATCCTGAAGAGGAGAAACGTGTCTGAAAGATTTTCCTACAAGAAATATATTTTTTATACCAAAACAAAGACCGGTATTTTCTGTCATCTCCGTTTAACTTTGTCAGTCAGGTGAATCGTTAAATAAATAATATGCAGCGTTAAATCAGACGGCGAGGAGTGGGCAGCTACTTGTCTTGTATGTACTTTCAGTATTATACAAGCAATTATGCACAAATGAAAAAGGTAGTCTAATTGTTAATAAGGCTGGCTTTATTAGCAAAAAATATTACATGTAATGCTTAAACTTCACAAACGTTTCTCTTTGTGAAGTATGCAAGTATTGTTAAACGAATAATTTCACTTTTTCAGTTATAAAATGGTCCACTTACATGTTTATGGCAAACTATAAAACACCACCAACGTTCTCTTCTTTTGTATATTTTCCTCTGCAAACACATTGTGACATCAGGTATTAGTAGGACTGTCTGTCACCAAAGCAGGCCGCCTGTGTTATCAATCCCATATAGCTGTCTCTTTTTTCTTTTACTGATAAAAACATTGGATAACAAAGGACTGTCTGCATGCCAGCGGTAATAAATGTGCCCCTGTCTGAGGAAACCCATGTTAAAGACACAAAACAATAGAAAAGTACAATAGATGATTATGAAAGAGTGACCTTCAAGTATGTTTTATGTACGGGAAGCAGCTCAAACACGATTATTCTCACCATGCCTGAATAATGAGTGGTACTCATTTTAAGTCAAGCCACCATTTTGAAGATGTATTTAAAAAGGTATAATAAGGAACTTCTCCGCATCAATAAGTATAATAACAAAATAAAAATAAATGTTCTCGAGTTGTGTGTACTTACATAATCCAACAAGTTTCCAAAAGTTTTAGAACTTAGAGAAATGTGTAATTTAAATCAGGTAAAGACCAACTAAGTCAACTTTGAAACAAAATAAAATCACTCAAACCTGTGAAACTTTAATCAAAAGTATAGCTTTATTAGTGTCCAAAATCGTAACAAAATTTCAGAACATTTAGGCTATAAGCCGATATACAGTTTACCTTCTTCACTATTATAAAGATATAGAAGAATATCTGAAGATTTGATAAATGAGGCTTTAGGTGGCCTTTCTGTGATCCGTCATTATAAATACAGCATGTCAGCACAACTACAATAGCTGTCTCATATAGCTTTAATAAACCTAACCATTCTATTTAATACCTTAAAATTAGACAAATCATGACAAATTAAAAAGGTACCCATAACTGAGCAATACAAAATTAAAAGAGAAAATGTGGACATTGTCATTAGTGCCGTATCATCGGATCCCAGACACCGATGAGTCAATGCAATCAGTAAATGTGCCAATAACTCTCAGTAGGTTTACTTAAGACTTAATCAATCAAAACGAGATGTTAACGCTTGGCTCTTTGCTGTGCAGTTATTTAAACAATATGTTTTTTTTGGTTAGTAAGACTAAAACCACACAGCAACATTTCTGCTCTAAGAACAATCAAACCAAACAAATTACAGATGGAAAATTGCATAACATTTTCAAAATGCAGAATGGTTTTGATTCCCTGTTTAAATTCGATTCAAACATAATGTGATCCCAACAGCTACACTGAAAAGATCATGGGAATACAGTTATTATGGTTTTGTGAACAATGGAGGGAATGATTGTAGAGAGAAAACAGTATAAAGGTGCATAAAACGTTATCTTTGCTCAGGCCTCCAGTCAGTCTGTGATCAGGAAGGCACTTCAGTCGGTTGTCTTGTCACCTGAACAGTCGGCTCCAAAAGGAAATGAAGGTGGTGGAGTTAAAGGCACCGATGAATATGAGAAGCAGGATGTAGAGACTCATCATGATGGCAAAATGGTGTCTAAGGAGCCAGGAGGTGCTGCGGGAACGCCTGGGGAGAGAAACAAAAAGGACATCCTGTTTACCATAAAACCAAAAACGATGTATTTCTTTTATTTTGTTTCCAGAAACACAAGGCAAATACTGCTCTGTTTTTTTTCAGCAATCAATTTCTCAAGTATATTCTTTTTTGTTGTTACTTTTTGTTTAGGCAATAACAAACATTGCAGAGGTTTTTTTTCTGCCAAACTGCTTTAAGGACAGTACCAAATAGTTATAAGCAAAGATGCATCATTCATTTTGTTTACAATCAACTTATAAAGCAACATTCTAATTAAGTTATAAAATTAGTGAATTATGAACCATACTGCCAAAAATAAGAAGCATTCCCCGTTTTTCTTATTTAATAACATATTCTTTGAATGACATTTGCGTTGTGGAGTGCAGTAGAAAGACAATGTTTCTGTTCAACGGGAATGATAACAAGGAGAGCGGTTTTCGATCCTGCTTGCTAAGAGGAAATGAATATTAAGTTAAACTTTTTTCCCACTTTCCCCATTGTGTGGCAGCACTAGCAATTTCAGCATTTACATCATACACCCACAAGGGACTCTTACCTGGACAGGTGTCTCCTCTGAGAGTAAACTAGCAGGTACTTGACTCGCAGAAGCTGGTTGTTAGTGACCACAAAGTACTTCTGCGGTACGTCCCCTCCTTCGCTGTTCTTCGCTCTTGAGCGCTGGCGGTCGATGATTTCAGAATCTGAAAAGAAAAATGTGCGGGGAAATGTAATATCAAGCAATTAAAAAGTCTGTCTCATTGGAATTCACATGTGTTTGATTCTGCGTGATACATGATTTACACACCTTTTTTCTTCACTTGGCACTTAACATCTGGGTGATCAATGACTTCACACAAAGCGACACAGCTGAGCAGCGGACCCAGCAGACTCTCTCTCCAGCCGCTGCTGTGTGGACTGTAGAGGACGGCCATGCTGAGGTCACTGGTGAGGTAGGTCCCCTCGCCAAACACCGAGTTCTGCACACAGCGGCCACAAAATAAAACAACAGAATATAAACCCTCCCTTATGTCATTTGTATTATATTGCATTATAACAGTCCAAAAAGGAACCATTTTAGTATATTCCTCCATAACAAAACAGACGATTTTTGGGCAGAGGAGAAATGAACCAGTGATGACTTCACCAACCTTGTTGAGGTGACAGTGCAGCCCATTGTGAATGATAGAGTGAAAGTTTTCCAGACGGCTCCCGTGGAATGCATAGAAGAGGTCTCTGCCCTCCCTCATCTTCTCAAACCTAGCGTTCACCTGATCACAGTACTCCAGCTCAAACAGGAAGTCAGGCACTGGCCCTGAAGTTCCTTCATTTTGTGTGAGGTCACACAGTTTGGCATACTGGAAGAGATTCAAGAAACACACTATGAACATAAAAGCCATAACAAAGAAATGTCTGTATTTGTACTACTAGAGGCGTACCTCGTCTTTTTGTAGGGTCTTCACAGCAAAGCTCTTTGAGGAGAGGATCCAGTGTGTCAGAGCCAGATGATGATCTCCCTCTCTGGGTCGCAGTCTCACCAACTCTCTCACACCAGGCAAAGACTGCACATCTGCCAACTAGAAAAGCCCATTTTTTTGATGAACTGTATGTTTGTGATGTTTTCATAAACATTTGTCTGAAATGAAATTTAATCCATTTTATATCATAACCATGCGCACAGAAACCAGTAAATAAATCTGTGATATACAGCATAAACTGTATATTTACCGTCACTCAAACTATTCTGAACGGTTTTGGCATTTTTGATCAAATGTTAGAGACCTGCTCATTCAAAATGCCCTAAAGTTGACACAGATACAGCCTTTCATTCCTGA